ACAGGAACTGATCGGCCTTTGAGCTATCTCCGTGGCATAGTCAGAGCATCTGTTAGTCACTTACTAATCGGGGCCTCTTGGTTACCAGGTGGCTGCCCAGGTAGCTCAGTGCCTATGCTCTAACAAATCTTTTTTTTACTTAATAATGACTTCAAAGTGAAAACATGTACTGTGATATTGTTATAGCTGTTCTTATCACAGTATCAGCTACGTCAGTGATCTCTTGATGTAACTATTTTATAAGTTAATGCTTTGCCAGAGGGATATATGCTTAGGACAGAACTGTGAATGCAGGGTTCCTTATCATCTACCACCTCAAGCAGTCCACTAGGGGCTCTTGAACCAACATCCACTCGCTAAAGGGAACCATGATAATCAGACACCAATCCCAAAATTCATTTCAGGACAATCTAGGGTTGTATTCTAGAAGTTTAAAGACACGAGCACACTCAGAGAAGAGAACACAAACCCTTACCAGTTGCAAAGTTCAAGGAACTTGATAGTAAAATGTAGCCATGCTCAGTTTGATCTGACGATACACAGGTTAGATTGATATGAGAAGTGAAATTAAAGGTCCCTTGGAGCATTTCCTCCTTGTGACAGAATGCCTCATAAAAACAGCGTAGAAGGCATTGTGTTTACTCAGTGTTTGCTCAGCAGGCCAACTGTTCTAAGGCCTGTGACAAGGCAAAAATATCACAGTGATACAACAAGAGATCTGAGAGCAAGGAAGGGCTATGGAAAAAGTATGTCCATTGAAGGCTTTGACCCCAGTGGCTCACTTCCTCCAACCAGGCTCTACCTTCTTATCTTCTCTTTTTTTAAGAATTTTTTCAAGACTTCTGTCTATGTGTGCCTGTCTTTTTAAGTGCATGTTTTATGTGTGGGTACCTGCAGGGGCCAGAAGATGTCAGAACCTCTGGAACTGGAATTACAAGCTGTTGTGAGACGCCTGATATAGGTGCTGGGAACCAAGCTTGGGTCCCCTGGGAAATCTGTGAGTGCTCACAAACACCAGCTCATCCTGTCCATCCCACGAGACTCTTCCTTCTAGTAATCCACTGGGTATGAACTCGTGGATTGATGAAATTAGCACCTCATGATCTAACCTCCCCTTAACAGCATCATCAGCCAGGGACTAGGCCCTGGGGATATTTCATAAGAACATTATACTGTCTGGGCAGGGTCCATTTAGGTGTTAGGGGAAGGGGGCTGTCTTTACTACCCACAGAATGACACTGTAATTTCCCCCTTTTCAGAAACTTTCACTTTGTTTACTCCAAATGTTAAGAAGAACTTACATTTTCCTCACTTGCTTACTCATAGGACACACCAGAACCTATCACATGCAACCATGTATGTTTCGTCACTCTAGAGGTGAGGGACCTGGGAGGATGGAGCCCATCAATAAATGAGGTGGACCAAAGCCTCATGCAATGGCCAGCTTTATTCAGAGACAGTTTCTACTCTGAGGCTTAGGAAAGGTCAGAGGAGTGAAGTTCCCATGAGTCCAAGCTGCACAGCCTCACAAGGACAAGCCACATGTGCCAAAGTGTTTTCCATAGAGGCCTGTAAAGGATATTTTAAAGATTTAATTGGGTAATAACAGCAAACAGCAATGAGCAATCTGAATGAACTCACCCCTGTCTGCTACAATCTGGGAGGACCCATTCCAAGAACGGGTCATGTTCCAAGAACAACTCCGTGTTTTGAAGAAACTGAGGTCACAAGACTCTTGTTTTCTTGGAGTGTTCTCACAAGCACTAAGAATTCTCCTCACACAACTTCCTCCATCTCTGGACCGCGTTCTAATAATAATGAAGCAATAAATGCAAATTTCCTTTAAAAATCCTCATGAAAAGAGGCTGGTGTCTACCACTGAGAAGAGCAGTTTGCAAGTCCAGGTTTAGATTTCTATCGCAGGGGCTCATGAGATCCCTTAAGGTTAGTGAGTCTTCATTTCAAACAGAACATACAACTCCTGCCAGAGCCTGGTCCTTCCTGGCAAAATACAGAGAGATTTGTAAAAATGCAACCATAATACTGCTCTCTGCTGTAAAACACCAATATGAATAGAGGCGGAACGCTTTTTTCCAAAGCCAGCTGAGAAAAGGTGGAGCCAAGGGCACCATTGAAACCACCTCAGAGAGTTGAGTCTGAGAGGCACCGTCAGGGATCCCCACAGAGCCAGGAGCCCCTTCCCCAGGCACAGGCGAGGCAGGCCTACTGGAGCAGTGGCCACGGCAGCGGACATGGCAGCAAAGGGTATCATTGCTCAGGTTAGCTATCACGCTTGGGTAGGACTCTCATCAGCCTATCCTCTTAAGAGACAAGGAGTGCTGGGACAGCAGGGTTCTCAGAGCAAGGCCTAGAAGGATGGAGAGCAGGCAAGTGGAGATAAAGGGGGGGAGAGGGCAGCAGGGAGACTAGCCGGCAGAAGGAAAGCAAGCAGACTCCAGCCAGCAGCATCGCAAACGTCAGACAGAACCGACACTGCTGTGTTCAAATGCACACATCCTCCCAGGGGCATGACTTCCTTCACAGTTCCCGTTCACAGGGCTAGCAGAAGCACCTCTGAAAGTCATCATGCCCTCGGGATCTTAGCAATGGGTTCTCCATTCACTGAGTCCCCTTGGAGCATCTTCAATACAGTTCTCATTTGCGCTGTGCATACGCAATGCCGGCACAGAGACAAAGAAAGGCCTCAGATGGAGCTGCTGCTAATCTATGAGACACATAGCAAAGGATATAATTATATGTTCTTTTCTTTATGCCTCATGCGTGTCTCTGTGCATGGCTCTGTGTGTGTCTGTGTGTCTGTGTGTGCACGTGCGTGTGTCTGTCTTGTGTGTGTATGTGTGTGTGCATACATGCATATGTCTGTGTCATGTGTCTGTGTGCATGTGTGTGTGAATGCATGCGTGTGTCTGTGTCTGTCGTATGTGTCTGTCATGTGTGTGTATGTGTGCGTGCATGCATGCATGTGTCTGTGTCTGTCGTGTGTGTGTGCATGTGTGTGTGCATGCATGCGTGTGTCTGTGTCTGTCGTATGTGTCTGTCGTGTGTGTGTGTATGTGTGCGTGCATGCATGCGTGTGTCTGTGTCTGTCGTGTCTGTCGTGTGTGTGCATGTGTGTGTGCATGTGTGTGTCTGTGTGTGTGTGCACGTGCGTGTGTCTGTCTTGTGTGTGTATGTGCGTGTGCATACATGCATGTGTCTGTCGTGTGTGTGTTCATGTGTGTGTGAATGCATGCGTGTGTCTGTGTCTGTCGTGTGTGTGTATGTGTGCGTGCATGCATGCGTGTGTCTGTCGTGTGTGTGTGCATGTGTGTGTGCATGCATGCGTGTGTCTGTGTCTGTCGTGTGTGTGTGTGTATGTGTGTGTGCATGCATGCATGTGTCTGTGTCTGTCGTGTGTGTGTGTTGCTAGGGACGGAGCTCAGTGCCTTGCACATGTTGGGCACAAATTCTACTTCTGAGCTCCACCCGGGCTCTATACAATTTGTCTACCTGGAAATGTCATTCATTTCAACTGCACACAAAGCAAATGCTATGCAATGAGTGCTTAGAAAATTCTCTAATACGATAGACTCGACTATGTTTTCACTTCAAAGGACAAAGAAAAGAAAGCCAAAATTTAAGTAAGCTGCATTTAATTCATGCGCCGTGTATGTGTTGTTCAATTTCAGGTGGTTGGCTCCTTAAAGTCTGGGAAAAGAACATATAATAAAGGCGATAATATTTCAGAACATTTCATGCTTAAAAAGAAAGTATCTAATAAAGGAATAATTATGCATATTTAATTGCGTTTAAACTTATAAAAACGCAAGACTATAACTGCCCTTTTATAGCCCTTTTAGACAGTATGGTAAGAACAGAAGGATTGAGGACTATAGAACATAACTATTCAGTCCACTTGCCAATCACAGCCAAAGCTTTTATGAATGAACCTCTGTGAGCCAAGCGGAGGCAATTATTAAATGAACGAACAATGGGATCACTGAACTTGTCGCCCTTCTTCCCTCCTACTGATAGGCTCTCATCAGCCTTCAGAGTCCTGCCTCACACAAAACATGATAACTCCATTCCTGTTTTATCACTATCACTGAGGGCTCCCCCTCATGAGGTATGCACGGGGTGCCTGGGACACTGCCTTCTGTATACACCAGCTAATTCAGTACGGGCAGAGCTCCAAGAATGAAGTGTCACTACCCGCATCCTGCTGAACAGTAGACTATCAAGAACTGTGCACACATCTAGACTGTGTCTACATGTGAAATGCATTCATGTTTCACACATACCTTGTAGAATGGTCAGAAAGTCATTGTATAGGGCACTTTGGTGCACCCATATTTTAACTGTGACACAGGACAAGGATAGAGACTATGTTCATCTTGCAACTGTCATGTCAGGTCTCAGGTCCAGTGGAAATGTCCACATATTCATTGGCTGCGGAGCGGTACTGTTGCTGCTGTGTTTACCATGCATAATTCGGATTCTACCAGTCCTAACCATGAAGATTCAATATAAACAGAAAGTAGGCTCAGGTAACTCAAAAAAGCTTACTGTAAGCAAATGCCCAAGTCAGTATGCAGAGGGCAGGAGAGCATTTGTTTCAGGGCCAACAGCGACAATGAAGGAAGGACAGTGGGTACCGGGACAGCTGCAGCCCCATGCTCAGACCATCACCAGAAGAAGCACTGGGAAAGAGTCAGGGGCTGCCACTTTTAGATGTCATTTCACCACCCCTCCCATGCCACCCAGACTGCCAGAGGAAAGGTGACGGTGTGTGTGCCTCAATCACTGGTTGACCCTAAAAGAACTCCGTGCCTGTGTGCTGAATGAAGTCAGAGAAAGGCAGAAGCAAACAGGAGGGCAAGTAAAGGAAACTGGGAAAATGAAGAAGGGAAACCAAGACTCTGCGCAGCACACAAGAGAGACACATTCACTACTCGTAGATTTACATGTGAGTTTAATAATACATCTTAAAACATGATTACCTTTTATTTCCCTTCTAGGCCATGGAGTCCTGGCAGCTTTCAATTCAAGACTCTGAAAAGCAGGGATGATATTCTCAGTGTCTAGCTCGGGGATTTCTGAAAGGAAATGGACATAGACTAAACGTTCTGATAGACAAGAAAAGGGATTTCAAAGAGCATAAAGATGAAACCAGTTTTCACTGAATAACATAAAGCAAAGCATTTCCTAAAACGCTGCAGGGAAAGATGGGTGGAGGCCTATTCTGACCTAATGTAGCAGGCTTTACATTGGTTTGAGAAAACAACAAAAATCAACAACTGAACGGGTTTGCTCTGGGCACTCAACAGCCACCCTGGGTTTCACACCCCCAAATGCAGCCTCCCTTGTAGCTACCACCAGGCTCCAGCTCAGAGGGCCAGGAGCAGCAGGACGGGGAGGCTAACACACCACAGCAGAACAGGGCAAGGGAAATGGAGCTTGGACTTCTAGAACTCAGTTCTTGTTATAAAGGAAGTGAACAGTGTACGTCCCAAATGCAACAGTGAGCTGGATTCAAGACAAGAGCGCCCCTACATGTCATGGGTGGCCAGACTGTGGGGTAGGCCATGTCAGAGTTGGGGCATACCATACCTCATCTTCAGGAAGGAAAAGATTATCTTAAACTGGCCCTAACCAACAGGCTGCATTTTAAAACGATGACGAGAAACCAAGGCTCCCTGAGGGAAGTGGCTCTGCATGTCTCTTGTGTGTGTGTGTGTGTGACTGCTTTCACTGTACTTGGGGATAGCTGGATGAATCATCAAAGCAATGTTTATCCAGACATCTGGCAACTCACAAGAAGATTCAGGGCTGCAAATTTTAACTCTCTCTTCCTCCCACATCTGGTTTTGTCGGATACCATAACAGCAAAAAAAAAAAAAAAAAAAAAAAAAAAAAAAATGGACCGCATCTTTGCTTGAAAGTGGGAGGGCCCAGCAAGGAAGGATCTGCATAGGTGTCTTCTTCATTGAACACACTATCTAAGTACGGATAGAAGAACAATTGGTAACTAAGGAACGGCTTGCGATTGCAACAGATGATGGCTAAGGACCATGTCACTTGGGGTCTCTGCCAGATCCACAACCATCAGACGCCCCTTTCTGGGGGGATGCATGACGAATGATGTACATGAGGCTTATTAGTCAGCCTGTACACGTTGACCCAGATTTTATATGGCTTTAAATACTAAAAGAAAGCCCAAAAATGTCTACTTTAATAACAGCTAAGAGGGATCCACCCCCACACTGTCACCTAGAAACCTTTCCATATAGTCTGCTGCTCCAGGATCACTCGGCGATGCTCTGCCACATATGAAGTAGAACATAGCACAAGCCTGAACGAAAATGAAGACTCAGCTTCCATGTTTCTCTCTGGTTCCTTTGGTGCATGAATTTTAATGACACTATTTTATACGGGATTCCAGGGATTCAAATCAACAAAATCATATACTTTTAGAATTATCTGGGTGTACTTTTAATGTACAAAATGTTTGAGCCCAATTTAATTGTGACTCAGAATAAAATAAATGGTTTTATACTACGCAATTTTGCAACTAGTGGGTATTTTTTTATTTTGGCTCAAAATTTCATTTTCAGCTTTATGATTATTCTTGCCTACTTTCATACTTTTGAAGAGAGGAAAATGAAGAGCTAAACTCCATTAAGCTTCAGAGAAATTAGAATCACACAATTATAGCTGAAATGGAATGGCACGCGGAAAGAAATCCAGTGTCGGATTTTCTTCAGAGTCCTCCTACTAAAATAACTAACGTCATCCATGACGGAAACTTACAGGCCGTATGGGTATGTATACAGTTGTCCCATTTTCACTAAGGAGAGGAATCCCAGAGAGCTCAAACAACTGCTCCAAAGTCACACAGCACACCTGAGCATTCAGATTTCCCACACGCCAAATCTATTCTCTGTTACACCACAGTCCATCCTTAATTTCCACAAGTCTCTGAAGAGCTAACAGTTGTATCTATTCCAGTGTAAAATAAAAATATTCCATGGCATTAATATAAAATAATTAATGTAAAATATTAATACTACTTGATAAGGCAACTTAACCACCAGAGCATAATCCACGTTTTGTTCCACTGTTCATACTGGCTGATGTGCTGAGGATCCATGGGAAACTAAAGTAAAATGTGGGATATTCTAGGCTTGGGTAATCTAAAACTACAATTTCTCTCTTGTTCTTAGTCAGCCCATAATAACAGGGTTTGCTAAAATACAGTTTCAAGTGATTTTATAGCCATCTATCAAGGGAGCTCAAAGTGTCCCCAAGCAATGTAAAGTAAGAATCTGAGAACTATTCAGCATCAGACCCACCATTAAGATTCTGTATTCTCTAAAACTCCAGGACTGCTCAGTTTGCTCAGACCAGCAGCTACCTGTTGATTCCCACTGTTTACATAGGTGGGTATTGGGTACTTGTGGTCCCGAAAACCTGAGGCAATGACCACCTTACTTCAGATGGATGAACACATGGCTGCAGAGTGGCCTTCTCTGTGGCCTGGAGGTTCCATTGGGATGAGTGTGTGTATAAGGGTAGGGTGGCTTAGCAAATCCACTGATGATTTCTCTAATGAGTGTGAACTGATACACACAGGTAAATGAAGTATTCTGACAAAATACGTAGAAACGCTGGGCGTACAGGAGGCATGTAACCAGAGGGTGTTTGTGTAAAACCACACCAGTTCTATTCCATGCTCTACTCGCTGTGTGCCACAGGAGCGCAGCTGAAAACTTAAAAACATACACACAGAGATATACAGACAGGGACATCCTTGAGACAAAAATGCAAGGAATGTCCCTTTTATTGTGCTCAGGGTCAGCTTATATAGGGCTCTGGCCACGACCCAGCTCTCGGGATCTTTCAGCTACAGACTCCTCAGAACCAACCCCCCTGCCACCAAGGTCTCCTGCCTCTCAGAGCAGCCGAGTTGTTTACAAGAAATTCAGGGTCTGGCGGTCCACAGTCCCCAACATGTTTGGTGGTGTTTGTTGTTTTCTTTTTTTCTAATTCTTCCCATCTCTTTCGGTTATGGATCCTGATTTATGGGCAACCTGCAAATTTTCCATCATGTTGCAAAAAAGACTACACAATTAACAATAGTTAGAAAATCAAACCAAAAAGACTAAAAGGTGGTGGTATACACCTTTAATCCCAGCACTTGGGAGACAGAAGCAAGGAGATTTAAGTTTGGTTTACAGAGCAAGTTTCAGGACACCAAGGGCTACATTGAGAAACCCCCAACAAACCAAAAAAAAAAAAAAAAAAAAACTGAACACATCACACACCAATGTTTTTTCATGGGATAGGTGCCTTAAAGCCATTTGCTTCCTGGGGATTAATTTATCTGGACTAAGCTGAAAGTGAGTCCCATAAATAAATAAATTTATAGGGGAAAAAAGGCACACTACAAGTTTCATTAAATACACTCAAATTAAATTCATCCAACCCATCATTTATATTCATGGATTCTCTAAAAACAGCACTTAGCAAACCACAGTTGAGAAAATGTTATCCATGTTAAAAATGTTTAGAGAACAACTTGATGGAAAAATCTATGAAACTGGCAGCAGGGCCAGCATCATGATCTTTTGAGGATAAATATGTACCCAGCTACAAATTAAGACTAGATGTGTCCAGTTGTAAGGAACACACCTTTCCAAAAAGCACATGGCCTCTCCCAAGAGTTCACTCCCACACTCCTATCCATGGTATGTAGCCACACAGCGTAGCACACTAACACAAGATCTTCAGCCTAGCACATTATTAGCTGAGTATTATTTAATCAATAATCATGTCATTCTCCAGGGCTCCAGTGACCATGAGTTAGAACCTAGAAGAAACTCAGACAGAAAAGATTATATTCCTATATCTATATATCATGATTCCTTATAATTATGAACCAAATCTAGACTTTATTAAGTTCCCAACCAAATGGCTGGAAGTAGGTAGGAGGGTCTAGTATTTATTCTAGATTCATGAATAGAAACAAGAGTCTCTGAAAGTGTCTTAGGGCAGTGGAGACAGACCAGCAAGAGGGGAGTGAAGCCTCCTTACTTTCAATGTTTTCATTTGTGAGGATCTGGTATTCCCTAAGTCCAACATTCATTAAGAGGAATTGTTATGGTCAGGCTAGTCCTTCCGCAGTCTCTACCCTCACCTGCCCAGTAGACACTGTGCTTCGCATTTGTTAAAGTCTCCTGTGTAAAATCCCTTATTAACTGATGGAAAATATTTCTTTAAAGAAAAACACAGGGGTAATGAACCCCCAACCACCTAAGGCAGAAAGAATTGATCTTACCTTGAGGGTGACTGTTAAAGTATTATTTTTAAATAACTAGCTATTAAATTAGTCACTGTGTTGCTTGAAAAATAAAAATTACAGAATGTTATTTAAGTCACCCTCGGATACAATGCCAAGAAACTGTGTCAACAAGTTTCTGCTTCCTATTATTATATTCTGGCAGTTTCCCACCCTTCGTAAGCATCTCCAAATTCCAAGAGGTAACTTCAACAAAATGCAAGTCTTTCTTTTTCACTTAAATAGTTCAGGCTAAGCTACATTAGCCAAATTAGTGAGCTTCAGGTAAGAGGACATGTCTCAAAAGACAGCAAGCATGTTCATGCATGTGAGAGTCTCTCTCTCTCTCTCTCTCTCTCTCTCTCTCTCACACACACACACACACACACACACACACACACAATTTTAAACTGGAGATACAGCTCAGTGGCAGAACGTTGGTATAGCACGAATTAGGCCCTTTGTTCTATCCAGATACTGCCAAAAAAAAGTTTCTACTATATATTTATCATAGGGTTTAGCACACAACGTCTTAGCTCGCTGAAAGATAGCTCTGACGTGCATCATCTCTAAGAATGCTGCTTAACTGCATACTTCTGCTTTTTGGGAGATAATCACTAGCAACCCTCCAACTTGGCTCTCTCCTCTATGCTACATATATAATTGGAGCCCTCCTCAAGTGCTTTTCTGAGCAGGTGGCACTAATTCCAAGCCAAAAAATCTACTCTTGGCTTTCCCGCAGATCCTAAGATCCATTCA